AGAAATATTGTGATCTGGTGACTCTGATTGTAGGTTTGAATAGACCATCATGTACAAACAAAGCTTACAATTTATATTCACGCTGTGCGAAAACGCACCGTCCATGCTATGTGATTCACAGCCTCTACAGACAGCTGTGTCTGTGAACAAGTTCAAAAAAAGCTATTTTGTTCAAAATAACACACTGAGCGCCCCGGGTACAGAGCACAAGTACAGCAGCACTGCTAACAACTAAAACCAGGTGATGTACATGGTAGGACAATACAGTCTCTCTACAGCCTATTTTATAAAGACAATTTAATAAGTCAGCATATTAATGTTTAAACTTCGCTTCTAAATTCAGTTAAAAGTAGTAAAGTTGCAAATGTTGACTTTTTCGCCTCCGTTTGTTAGTCTGTGTATACCCGTCCATGTTGGGGAAGTGGTTGTGATTGTGTTTAAAAACAGGCTTAAACTGCACAGCATATGAGCACACGATCACTGCCAGCTCGAGTCGTTTGTTCATTAGTGTGGCAGTGTACACTAGGCTTACGTCACTTGGTATCAGCTGATATGTAAGTATGGATAAACATGCCATGGCAGATATCATATGCTGTCATGACAGATCGTGTCCTGTAGTATAAAATTCTCATGCTACCATTACTGTTACTTGGCATGACAGATGCAATAATGTTTGATGTCATGATGTCTAACTTGAGTCACTTACAGCAAAAATTAATGTCATAAGCTGTCATGACGTCAAATATTATGGCATCTGTCATGGCAATTTATCATAACAGTAATATGACAGTTATATTATTGAACAAAATCTGCCCTGACAACATTGTGACAGCATATGACATCTGCCATTACATGTTTATAGCATGGTTATGTCAATGTTATATAGCAGAGTTCAAGTAAAGTGATATTCTGTTATGGGTTTCTGCAAAATTGATAGAAACATTGCAGTAGCCTCTTATTGGTGTTTTGAAATGTTCTTTGAAATAAGTGAGATGTAAAAATATGACTTGTTTCTTCCTGGTAAGTTAACATTTACAGTCTGAATGTGAATGTGACATGAATTCACCAAAGCTATAAAAGTCATTTAATAAGTCAAAGAGAACAGTTTCTAAAATAATGACAGTGTGTGTGTTAGACATGGACAAAGTGCACTGGCAAAAAGGGGCAGTGGTCCTTAGTTAAATCTCACTGAATGCATTAGAAATGGTAATAAACATAAGAACAACAGAAAACATTGGGCTTCATTCACCGTTCAAGCGTTCTTAAGAAGAAATTTCTTCTTAAAACCCACTTACTCAGTTTTCGTGAAGTTTCTGACATTCACCAATGTTTTCTTATAGACTTTTTCTTCAGACCTTTCTCAAGAACATGTTGAAGAACAAACTTAGAAAGATATTGGTGAATGAGGCCCATTGTCTCTGTGACCCAGTCTGAATAAAACCTGTGTGTTATGACCTTCAGAAAGCTTTAAGTTATTTCTTTCCTTGAGGAATCCCACTACATTCAGGACTAGTACAGCATTCCAAGGATTAATACTGTTCTGAAGGTTGTCCTATCCCTTGTTATTAGGAGCTTGATAGTAATTTAGTGTTAAGGATTTGCATTATTATGTCCAATTATGTTCTATTTGAATGTATTTGAAGGTGTGTTAGTTTGCTCACAACTCTGTAATCAGAGGTGAAGAAATACCTTGTTCTTGGCATATAGAGTCTCATAGAACCCCAGTATGACACACCTAAATCTAATCTTAACTAGCTAGATCAGGGATCATGTTACAATAGGGTTGGAGCTGAACTCTGCACGGAGATGGACCTCTATAAGCAGAGCTGTGCTGTTGTGTTCTAATTTCAGAGACTGTTCATTTTTGTGTAAGGAATTACTCTAATCTAATTTGAATCAGGATCTCTTTTGATCAAAGTTTCTATTATCATAAGAATTAACATTTTGGTAACAATCATGTTTCTCTTGCAGTCAATGTCTTCCACCGTGTACTAATGAGATCACAATGACCAATGAGCTACGCTATCCAGGATTTTTACAAATTTAGGTGGGCATTTTATTTCTATACTTTATATCATTTTCATTAGCTTTTATAGCCATTTACATTTGACCTACACTGTCTATGTAAAATGCAAGACATGCCGGTAAATATACCACAGACAAGACTTTTGTGGCAATATTGCTATGAAATATTACAAGGCCTTCAGATACCAGTCATGATGACCACAATGACCACATTGCCACCTGCTGGCACATACAGTGTATTGCTGTAATGCCAAACCCCATGTTAGCTTGTCAGGGACAGAAAACTGAGGGCCAGAGTTCAGCACAGTTGGTCATCTCTCTACTCTAACAGACCAACTAAGCGTAAAACTAAACTACTGAGTTCAGGTGTGTTTGATCATGGAAATCACTACACTGAGCAATATTTCATCCCCTCAGGACTGAAGTTCCACACTCATGTGGAAAAGGTTGTAAACTAATTGTTCTGTTGATTGAGTGTTCATTTGCAGTTTGCATTTCACTTTGAAATGACTTACAGTACAAAAGTCAGAGACCACCCTGCGTTTATTTCTTTCTGAATGAAAACAGCCACTATGTATCATTCTTTTTTTCAGAAGATACTTCTGAGGAGATTAGATAGAAATGTGCATAAGGGGAAAGAACAAAGAAAATAAGTTAAAAAAAAAGTTTAAAAGCTGAAAGCGTGGAAAAACATCCCCACACAAGCGTGGACACACTAAATACTGAAACATTTGATATTATATTTTGTTTATGAGGCTTCTGTATCATCTGTTGAATATCAGTTTCTGCTTTTTCCTGACACTGAAAAATGTAGAATTTGTACGTAAAGCAACATTATATAATACTTTTTGTTAAAACTGAAAGAAATAGCTTTTCTGAGTATGGAGAAAACAGAACACCCTAAAATATGGAATGTGTGTCGTTGCGAGTCGCCCTGTAAAGCCTGAAATAATCATTTTTAAGTCAGAAGCGTCGGGGCTGATTTGGGGGGAGTTTTTCGGGCCACATCCTAAGTCTTTACCTATTAACATCACGCATAGGGGCTCAAAAAGAAGGTCCAGCTTGATGTTTAGGTCTCAAATATAAAATCAACAATATACTGATGAAGACATTATGAAAATAATGGATAATTCACTCACGTCCTCGGAGCACAAGTCCTTCACCAAGTTTTGATTGAGTTCTCTTTGAATTCTCTTTCAATGCACTCACAATCACCAGATTCATCCACTTGTAGGGGCCCGAAGCACAACTGACATTACAAAAGGCTCTTTCCCACATTGCATGCAATTACATATTTCCAGAGAAATCTCCAAGTCCCCAAATCCTATAGTGCTGCCTTAATGGCCGATTTGACTGGAAATTAAATAAATGAAATGTTTGACTTATGTTCACATTTCCTGAATCAACCATCTAAATTTTATGCATACACAAATGATTTACTGAGTATTCTGTAAACTTTGATATTATATCAATGTTTTATTGTTTGTGTGTGTGTGCTACATAAAGGCAACATTGTGTATTTTTCCCCAGACAAATCAGTAAACTTGTGATACAATATATTTAGGCAATATAAAAAGTGGTATAACACCATATAGCTTTAACAGTTAACTTCTAGACACCACAGGCAAAGAACCAAAAGTATATATCAATATCTTGATAGGTTTCAGTTAGGGAAAATGTCTTTGGAACATGTGTAGCATCTCAGAAGTTGATGTCTGTTCCGCAGCTTTCCGATTACACAAATTTCAAACAGTGACAAAAGTAGTACTGGACTTGCACCACAGTTTTCCAGTACAGAGCTTACAAAGTTTAACAACTGACTGGGTTACATTTGTAAATAAAAAATGGCTAAGGGTGGACAGTCCAAAATTATTTGACTGTTTAAAGAGCAGAAAGTTTGCAGTGCACTTTTGCAATGTGCTATGGGCTTTGTAATGCACTTGTCCATCCTACAGAGCCATAAACCCACCACATTTTCCATTTGCGATTCTCACTTCACCAACGTACGCCACAAGTTCCTGTGCTTGGAATTCTAAATCACGACAACCCAGTTCATCTCAGTTTATAACAAACTCCTGTTCTTGGGTTAGCCTGGTACTACAATAACTACATATAAGCTTTTAAAAAAGATACAACAGTCATACATTCCATTTGAAGTTATATATACAGTCGAATGGCATACCATACCAGAGGTTAATTGTTGCATAGCCTGAAATGTATATATTTTTTATCAGCAGTTTCAGATATTGGGTGTAGCATACAGAGCTATAATTGACAGTATGTTTGTAATAGTATACCATAGTGCATTACCAAGTTACATCACACTAAAAGTACACACAACAGATAATTCTCTCGTATACAATATGCGGTCTTATATGGGTGTAAACCACAATTATAGTCCTATGGAATATGATAATATACTGTACATCACTTTTACTTGTAAAGTAACCTGACAACATTCTTTCTGAATACAGATGATTTGGTTTATGTGACCTCAAGTGCAACATGATTGGAAAGAAGAACAAAACTTTGGGGTTGAAGTTCTATGCTCAAAGTACACTGAGAGGATTTTTGCTTCGTAAGTAAAGGCTTGGTCCTCCATGTGAATATTAAACAAGACAAATAAAATAGTTGTCTTGAAACATCATGTAAGAATCCTGCAGCTGTATTAGGATAAAGTAATAGAAAAAATTATTACTTCTAACACAGGACGAACACGATGTTGAGTTTGGATTATTGCTATGAATGTAATGACTGACGTGGAAAAAAAGTCATTTAAGATTCCATTTTGGTAAATACAGTGTTGAGGACATTCTTAGTTCGATATGAGCACAGGGTCTGTCTTAGAGCAAAGCACCGTTCCCTTAACAGGCTGTGGGCTGCAAGTATTGAGCCATGGACGACATGATTCCTGAGTGACAGGACATGCTCAGTGTTGAGAATCTGTCTTGTTTCTTAAGACATCATTCTCAGGTCAGCATTGGATTCTTCATCCGCACTGATTTGCGTATGTTACTGTCCATCAGCTGTGAGTCAGTGAACCTCATAAGGAGGTCTCCACGCAGGAGCCATTCCTATGGAAAGAGCGGTGGTTGGGGCAGCTCTCACTGCAGTGGACGATGAGAACTGGGAAGCAGAGGGCATCTTGGTAAGGCGGGGGGTCATCCTCAGCGGTGGCGATGTGGCCAGACAGGCAGCGTGTGTTTTCACTTGGGCTTTCAGGTTCATCCAGGCTGCCGCTGCCGCTCCTCCAGAAGCAGCTGCGGCGTGAGCCGTACAGCCGGCCCAGCGAGAAGCGGCTGCCGCTGAAGGGGACTCGAGGGCTTCCGTTGCAGATGCTGAGGGCGCTGCGGGAGAACACGGAGGAGCTGCTGATGGCACGATGGCAGCGCTCACAGTTCTGTCGGAAACCTCCAGAACGTTGGGCCAGGTCCATCAGACCCGCTTCTGAGTAGCTTGGCACCAACTGCTGATTGGAGCGGATGTGCCACTCTAGCTCAGTGCTGTCAATGGTGTTCACTCGAGGGATACGCCGGCAGTATGGATGCTCGTCACACGGCGTAACCGGAATGTAGTCGACCCCAAAAAGCTTCTCCACTCGGTAGTGGACGTAAGCCGTGCGGTACTCCGTCAGAACCCTCAAGGGCCAGGAGAACGTGAGGAAGGCAGCCGTCCAGAAGACATAATTTGAGACGTACCAGGGATGGTTGTCTGGGTTTGAGAAGGCAATCATATACTCTTTGAAGTCTACATTCTTCAGGTGCATCCCCTCGCGTGCTTCCATGTAATCGTCAAGACCCTCATTGTCGGTGAAGAACCTGGCCCGCTGAGTTAAGTAGGAATTCTCAGACTCCACGTTAGCAAAGCTAAAGCACTTAGTGAACCTCAGTTTGGTGATAGCTGACTTATCCAGGCCAACCAGCTGCTTGGAAACGTCCTTCACCCCACAGTGGCCGTAGTCGAATTCAGCCTCAGCCACGTGTGTGTTCACCCTCTCGTGATACACCTGAGTGGTAGTGTATGCATCTCCGTTGCGGTAGCGTGTCACCTGCCTCGTTCGCCGTACGTAATGGTAGCTGATGGCTTTCCACCAGATACAGGGCTTAGACTGCTGCATCCTCTGAACCCTTTCGTAGATGCCCTCCACATCTACCTTGTACTGCAGCTCATTTCTCGCATGGCAGTGCCAGCACTCCACCAGGTAGACCACATACAGCATGACCAGGAATGCTAAGGGAATATAGATGTAGCCGTCAGAGCAAGGGCTATCGTGGTACATCATGGACTTCCCTTTGTAGGCAGTGTCGAAGCTCAGCCGGGTGACCTTGGTGACATGACACCACACCATGGCGCCCATGCATCCGTACATGAGCATGGAGAGCAAGAGGCATTTCCAGAAGGCTTCTCTACACAGCGACTTGCTCAGGGACTGTTTCAGGGGCCTCTGCTGCTTGTCAACAGGGAGACACAACAGAGTACATGTGCAGTAGTTTAGTGAGTTGTAAAGAACATATAGCTTCTGCAAAGGTGGATTTGAATGACTTTATACACTTACAGAGGTGGATAATGAAGGCTATTTGTCAGCACTTGGACACTGGTGTGGCATTTTATTGATACACTTTAAAGGGCTCATATCATGGAAAATCTTCCTGAAGTTTGATGCAGAATGTAAGCATTGGTAAAGTTTTAAAAGCGTTTACTGTCCACATACTAAGCTGCAAAACAACCCATTTTGAAGTTGTTGTTTTTGTGATGTCACAAAAACAAATGCATTTACATTTACATTCCTGCCATTTCAGCCTACTGTAGTGTTCAAGTTGACAATAAAAGAAGGGTTTTGTTCTGTACTGTTTTATGAATGGCCCATAATACATGGCAGCCAATCAGGTAAAACGTCATTTGCATATGTCAGCCTTAAATGTACATTAAGAAAAACAGTCTGCTTAATTCTAAGGGATAAAGGGAGGCTGGGAAATGGTCATGTAAAAAGGAATCATGATTACTTTGGGTGCATAAACCCACCACAAACATCATAATAAGACCCTAGGGGAACAGACAGATAGATAGATAGATAGATAGATAGATAGATAGATAGATAGACAGATAGATAGATAGATAGATAGATAAGAAAAACGATGGCTATGGACCCTTTAAATGCAGCCTGCTCACTTTATTTCATGCCACTTGTTATCACATTTATTTAACGCTGATTTCCCATTTTCAGCCCTTCATATTGATGCTAGTACTGTGCATTGCATCTATGCATAACTTCCTCTGCTGCAGTGGTCTCCACATCGCCTGTAGCCTGTGTGGCCCAGTTCAGACCACAGGGATGAAAAGCCCCTGTAGACTGTATCAAGCGCGAGAGCAGGCTAATTAATGTGTTTGCTAATAAAATGACCATTAATACCTCCTCTCTGGGGCTGTCCGTGTCGTCCTCGAAAACCGTGGTGGTGCTGCTCTCACTAGCCGTCGCAGCCGAGGCTGGAGGGGACATGGCAGCTCTGAGAGCAGCGCTGGGCCCTGGAGCACCTCAGACGAGAAAGAAAAATCCCAAACTGCTGAACCGAGCCCTAAACAGCCTAACGTGGAGGAAAAAACTCGCTGTTTTCTGATTAACCGCCTGCCGTGTCGCCATCCAGCAGCCTGAAATCAAATCTCTTCGCCAGATCCTCAGCTGAATGAGTGCTGCGGCTCTCGGCTAATAACAGGAAGACGGCGGCTGAGGGTTAAACGATATGAAGGGAAAGACGGAGGAGGCGAAACATGCGCTGGAAACGTCTGTGAGTCGCAGTGTTTGTGTCTGATTCAGCATTCAGCCTCGCTCCATACCTCAGGTTTGGTACAAACGTTTTAAGACGGATTCTTGACGCCATTAAAGGATGAAGAGAAAGATGAACCTGTTAGCTCTCAGTTTTGCTCGTGCTGAAGGGGATTTGGAGGTCTCGCTGGAGGTTTGGAGGCTGAGATGTTGGTTCAGGGTGGAACCGTGTTGTTTCGCTAGGCCGCTAGAGGGCGCGCTGCTGCAAGCTTTAGCCTCACGCCTCATGGCGACAATTGAGGGAAAATTCAATTACTGGGGGAAGTTGACTGTAATGTGCAATTTTAATTTTACTGGGAGTTTTGAGCTGGAAAAACTGGAAACAGGAATGAAAAGGTTTTAATTTTCGTGCTTTTCCAACGCTTTTCTTGCCATCTCCTTAATTGTGGACGTAAGAATATAAAATATCTGAATAGTGAGTTTATTTACAGTTTATTTTGTCCTGTCTGTACATGTACGCCTTGAGAAATAAAATGTCCTAAAATTGTATAGGCTTATGCGTACAGTTCTAGAAAAATATCATTGATACAGAACTTGCAAAATTTCCTTAACTACCTGTTTTTCAAAATGTCTGCATAATTCAATCATTCAGATGTAAGCAAAGTCATTCAGTGTGGTTTGATGTGAAATTGTACACTGTAGAGAAACTTATAAACTCAGATTTTTACAGTGGTGTTGATGGGAACCAGAGGTCATAATGTCTGCAGCCCAGTAGCCATTTTTATTTACTCTCTAACCGGTGAACCTACATGTCTTCTGTTTTTTTAATATAATGTTGATGATGGTAAAATAGTGGTAGATCTGAAAGGCTTTCTTTGTGGACTGTTTTGCCTTATAATGATGTACATGTACATCTCCACCATGAATGGATTAAAATAAGTGGATTACAAGACATTTTAGACCAAAACTTTATGACAAAACTAAACAGAGTTTAAAATAAAACCTTATCTCAAAACAATGTCTCAGGCATTAAACAACATATTCAGCTTTCTGTGAGGTAACTGTTAGAAGCATTATACACTTTGGACATCTGGTTCCTATCACCACTGAACAGTTTTGACTCTGTTTCTCTACACTCTTAAAAAAGATGGTGCTTCAAGGGTTCTTTAGTAAAGAAAATTGTTCTATATAGAACCTTCAAAACTTAAAGAAACCTTTGGACTGATGGAAAATGTGCATGAATGTGCTATAGATTCTTCTATTGTTACAAGCTTGACACCGTAACAATAGAGGAACCCTTTTCGGTGCTATATAGAACCATTTTCAAAAAGGTTCTATGTAGAACCAAATGGATAGTTAAAGAACTTTTATTTTAAATGAGTCATTCAGAGTGGTTTGATGTGAAATGCTCAATTCTACAGTATTGAAAAAGACGGATCTTTCAGGGTTCTTTAGTAAAGAAAATGGTTTGCATATTTAAGGGTTCTTTGCATCATGGAATAGTTCTTCAGACTGATGGAAAACATGCTGTAGATGGTTCTACATAGAACCTTTTTGAAAATGGTTCTGACTCTTAGGTCTTCATTTCGACTTAGCACAGTGCAGTGATAGCATACCTGTTACAGGAACAGATGGTACACAGTGGGGTGTTTATCTGTGGATTAGGTAAGAAACCCAATGCACATTCCTAAATAATCAGTATGATTAATGATTACATGAGTTGCATGCAGTATTAAGAATATATTTTTTGTCATAATTACTTTTTTGTCATAATTATTATAAGTGATATTATATCTAATTATATTTTTGACTAACTTGCATATAATATATTGTTCAAAGGTAATAATTATATTAGCTAATCTAGACTGTGTTCCTATTTGATTAATTATAGCATTTGTTAGCTTTTATGCTATACATTTCTCAGTAAGGAGAATTGGGTCTAACATGTTTCAGGCGTGCACACATTGGAGAGCAGCCTAAACTGCAATAATAAAACTGCAAACAGAAAATGAGATTTGGGTTTATTACATGGCCTGTAGGAAGAATCCAGCGTCCAGCGATGGCCTGCTCTGTCTCTGTGGACTCGCCAGCACCATGGACAGCGCTCTAGTGCTTCACTACAGCGCCTCTCAAGCTTCAGGCTACCATGAATGGGCTTCATACACTATCATACATTTTATTTGATATTTTGCATATTTGTTCTATATTTTTCATATATTTTTTTCCTCACCCATCACAACTTTTTCTTCCCTTTTTTTATTTGTTTTGGTTTTTATTTTTTTTTATTTACCTCAAACTGATGAAGTAAATCAACAAAACAACAAAGGTTTAAAGGGGAATTCCACAAATTTTCAAAATGCCTTTATGAGTAAATCATTAAGATGTTAACAATCTCATTTAGAGTGGTTGGATGTGAAATTCTCTCATTCTAGAGACACTTACCAAGTCAGAATTATTCACAGTGGTGGTGTTAGGAACCAGACGTCCGAAGTGTTCAATGCTTCAGAAAGCTACATCACAGAAAGTTATTACATTAAATAGTTATGAATCCTCTGCTTGATGCCTGAGACAGTGTTTTATGGTAGTTTGGAAAGGTTATGGCCTTTTTAAAATCCATTAATGGCAGAGACAAACATGCAGGGTATTCTAAGGCAAAATAGTCCCTTCAATTTTATCTCTATTTTATCATCATCAACATCACATATAAAAACTCAAAGGACATGTGTAGGTTCACTGATCATTTTGAATATGAAATAAAATGGCTATATTTGTATTATGACTATATTAGACATTGTGACCCCTGCATTACTGCCACTTAAAGAAATCCAAGCTGCTAAGTTTCTGTACAATGAACCATTTCATATCAAATTACTCTGAATGAGTGATTTCCCATTTAAGAAGGGGGATCGAGGAGAGTTTTACTAATTGCTGTTTTTTCATATTATTCATCAGAAGTTACAGTAGTAACCATTATGGCCGGTTATTAAGCTATTTTGACGTTTTAAATAGAAATCAACAGCTTAACTTCATAAGTTAGACTTCTTCTATCAGCTCCATTACTATTTGCCCTTTTCTCTGTCATTTTACGCTGTGCAAAAACAGTAAAGGGATTAGTGACAGGTTATTATTTAATTGAACATTAGAAGTGATATTTTCACTGTCCACCAGAGAGCAGCATCGCCTCATGCCTGTTTTGCCATTGGTTCCCATTGGGGCAACTTGGAATTAACTCCATGGAGCTTTGCCTGATGACGTCCCCTTGTTTTTGCACCCTCCACCTGGAGAAAGATAACACAAATATTAAGAGATAAAGCTCTACACTCTGTGAACAGCCTTCGTTAAACATTACAACTTCCTTGTATTGAGGGTGAACCTTATGGAGCTTTTGAGGTTTGTAAATGTGGTTAGGTTGAGGATAAGACTACTTTTGCATATTACAATCAGAAATATTTACTGATTTCTCTGCTTGCATGGCAAAAGCCTTGTAGTTCAATGCTTGTACATTGTTTCTGAATTCATTCACCAATTTTCATGTAAATCCTTGAAAGATATTTTTTTAGATATTGAACTCTGCCACCTTGAGAACAGATTTCATTGACCTTCATGTGACTGTTTTCCCAAAAGTCTTCAGTATATTACAAACTAGGTCATTTATGCATATATACATATGCAGATTTTTTTCTCTGGGCACAAGCTAGAAATAACAACAGAGCCAAATTTACCCAATTAAGTAAAGTTATTGACAAATCACAGCATCTTAATGAGTAACTTTCAGTGGTGTGTGTGAGACATAGAAGTTACGCATCGCTGTTGTCGGAATAAAACCTTGTATCTCCATTTTTGATGTTCTTCAGTTTTCTCGAAATCTCGAAAATACTTGTTGCTCTTTACATTGTGTGTAAACTTCATGATGATTGGACCAAAAGAAATGACCCAAAATGACTTGGATAAAGATCTGGTTCCATTGATTTACATGAAAAGTAAAGTGTGGTTTTTCCTTCTCCTGTGAAGTTACCATTTTGGAGATATGAGGTTTTCTTCCGACAACAGCGTTATGATGTTTGTAGAATCTGCACTGCTGAACTCAATTTGAGAGGTAGCAGACTTCCCAATGACAAGAAGAATGTGTTGAAGATGTCTGAGAAAGAAAGGGAAAGCTGGTGTAGTAGGAAATATGTTACACAGTGATGGAAAACATGCTAGGTTTATATAAGACAGCTATCTGCAAAAAGAAATCTAAGTTCTTTGGGTTACAGCTTTTTCAACAGAATATGTATGACTTTAATGTTGGGCCTTTGAGTAGGTTGTTATGTTCAGGCCTTGGGTCTTTCTGTGGCTACTCTGGGGAAACTTTTTTGTCTTTCATCATGACGACAAGTTCCTGAAGATCAAATCTCAATGGCTGTTAGGTTCAAAGTGAAGCTGCTTCTGAAATCCATGTTAAGTTAAAAGTAATAATTCATGGAATAAAAGTGTCAGATTTAACCATCACTGATGCAGACTATACAACTCTCACAATGGATACTATTTTTAAATGCTTTTAGAAACAGCTGGAGGCAGAATGCTAGCCCTTCTGACTGTGACAACACAGATTCCCTACTTATTTCAAAAAGTAATATGCATACAATCTGTAACATTTCATATAACAGAGCCTATATTCAACACTTTCATGTATTTTGTCCACTTTTGACATGAGTGTGGTTTTATGTACCGAAAGCTCATTTTAATTCATTTTACATGACCAGTCCAATGAATATCCAGAGTTTCATTTTGAGATCTTTATGATCTCACTGGTCCAGGTTTTGAGAAAACACACCAGAAACAGAGAGGACTGGGATCACTGAACTGCCTTTCTGCTTACAATAATTAATTAGTATATTAGCAGGGCTTTTGCTTGCTCAGATATTTTTTGTTTACAGAGCCAGAGTCTATAATCCTTGCTAAACAGTACCGAACTGTTGCTATGAAATTATTCTCCTACCAAACAGGAGTGTTTGCCAAGCACTTTGTCGTTTCTATGAAATATGGCTCCCCCTCTGTTATGTATGTGACACAGATACAGGAATGAAAATAT